CCCCCCTCCCCTCCCCCCCCGTGTGTCTGCAGGATTTCTGTGGCATGAATGTAAGGAGGTCTGGATCGAGGGACTGAGAAGTTACTTCCTGGACTGGTGGAACTTCCTGGACATCGTCACCATCAGCATGTACCTGGCCTCGTTCTCCCTGCGGATCCTGGTGGCAGTGAGGGGATACCTGTCCTGCCAAGACGACCCCGCGTCCGACACCTGCTTCTACTTCACCAAAGCAGGTAGGAGAGGCGACTGCCGATGGTCGGGGCTGGTAGAAGCTCCGGGTACAAACATGTTCATTCACTTATATTCCTCAAAAGCCGCCAAGGATATAAATCCCCGTTGTGCGCACCAAATGCCTCTGCAGACCCAGATATCTTATTTCTCTTTACACCTTTACACGCACATGAACTTTAATGGCGTCCCAGTCTTAGTCCGTAGGGTTCAGTATTGGGTTGGCTCCGCCCTCTAATGTCATCCCAGTCTTAGTCCGTAGGGTTCAGTATTGGGTTGGCTCCGCCCTTTGCCGCTATAACAGCTCCGCCTCTTCTGGGAAGGCGTCCACAAGGTTTAGGAGTGTGTCTATGGGAATGTTGGACCATTTGTGAGGTCAGGTACTGATGTTGGGGGAGGGGCTCGCAGTCTCCGCCTCTAATTCATCCCAAAGGTGTTCTATGGGGTTGAGGTCAGGACTCTGTGCGGCCAGTCACGTTCCTCCCCCCCAAACTCCCCCATCCATGTCTTTATGGACCTTGCTTTGTGCACTGGTGCGCAGTCATGTTGGAACAGGAAGGGGCCGTCCCCAAACTCCTCCCACAAAGTTGGGAGCATGAAATTGTCCAAAATGTCTTGGTGTGCTGATGCCTTAAGAGTTCCCTTCACTGGAACTAAGGGGCCAAGCCCAACCCCTGAGAAACAACCCCCCCCCATAATCCCCCCTCCACCAAACTTTACACTTGGCACAATGCAGTCAGGCAAGTACCGTTCTCCTGGCAACCGCCAAACCCAGACACGCCCATCGGATTGCCAGACAGAGAAGCGTGATTGGTCACTCCAGAGAACACGTCTCCACTCCTCTAGAGTCCAGTGGCGGCGTGCGTTACACCACGGCATCCCACGCTTTGCATTGCACTCGGTGATGTGCGGCTTGGATGCAGCTGCTCGGCCATGGAAACCCATTCCATGAAGCTCTCCACGCACTGTTGTTGTGCCAATCTGACGGCCACATGGAGTTTGGAGGTCTGTAGCTATTGACTCTGCAGACAGCTGGCGACTTCTGCGCACTGTGCGCTTCAGCATGCGCTGACCCCGCTCTGTCATGTGACGTGGCCGACCACTTCCTGGCTGAGTTGCTGATGTTCCCAGTTGCTTCCACTTTGTTATAATCCCAGTAACAGGCGACCGCGGCGGAATATTTAGTAGCCAGGAAATGTCACGGACGGACTTATTGCACAGGTGACAACCTATCACGGCACCACGCTTGTAGTCACCGAGCTCCTGAGAGCGACCCGTTCTCTCACCGATGTCTGTAGAAGCGTCTGCATACCGAGGTGCCTCTTCCTATACACCGGGGGCCATGGAGGGGATTGGAACACCTGAATCACATGATTTGGAGGGGGAGGGGCCCAATACTTTTGGCAATGTAGTGTAGATTTGCAAATATTTTTCTTTAAATAAACATTGAGTACATGACCAGGGAATCCCAAAGCACTATTGGGTTTTCCAATAGTCCTTTTAGGCAGGCTGTCTCTGACTGAAACCCCAGACGGAGCTGTAGAGAGAGTCACTGCGATGAGCTTGGCTGTGATCTGCCAGCTACGTCCACCAGCATGGAAAGTTTTTTTACATTTCTTAAATTTTGCTCAAAGATCAAAGACATTTTATTCTTCCTCCTGCAGGCCGCTCGGAGTGGAACACGGAGGACCCGCAGTTCATCGCCGAGGTTCTGTTTGCTGTCACCAGCATGCTGAGCTTTACACGTTTAGCCTATATCCTCCCTGCACACGAGACCCTCGGGACCCTGCAGATCTCCATTGGCAAAATGATCGATGACATGATAAGGTGAGGAGTGGGGGGACCCTCGGGGGCGTTCCTTAAATAGACCCTCTGAGGCCATTAACCAAATGATACCTCGGGGTCCCATGCATGAGAGGAAGTCGTATACTCAACCTTCCAGCTGCCCGGATCTCCAATCCTCCCAGTACTGCAGCCTCCATAAGACTCTCCGGCAATTGGCACTTCGGGAGAGTCGAAGGCCGGTGTCCTCCGCTGTGTGTCTTACTTCTTTCTCCCAACCCCAACATCACTACAGGACTCGGCAATGATACAAGGGTTGGAGGAAGGAACCGCAACGCATGGCAGGGAACACGGGCGCCTGACGCTCCCGGACGTGTTGGGCCCAGAAGAGTCGGTTTCAATGTTTTTATAGAAAATCTTTAGAAGGTAAACAGAGGTCAGGAATTGCTCATCAGGAGTACAATATGGTGAACAGTAGGGATGCGCCGATACCGATACTTACCCCCGATTACGGAGATTTCCTCTGACCGGCAGTGCAGGGAGGGGACATGAAGCCGGCTTTTCAGCCAATCAGGAAGCCGGGCTGCGGCTAATTGATCGTGGCCCGGCTTCCTGATTGTCCAGGAAGCCGAATCCATGCTGTTTGGCCGGCTCAGTGCTGATTGGCCCGGGAAGCCAGCTTCCTGGCCAATCAGCATCGAGCTGGCCAAACAGCCCGCGGGTAATGACTCGCCTCCCAGCTTCCTGATTGGCTGGGAAGCTGGCTCAATGCTGATTGGCTGGGATCCCGGCTTCCTGGCCAAACAGCCGGCTCGTTGCTGATTGGCTGGAAAGCCGGCTTCCTGGCCAAACAGCATGGAGCCGGCTTCCTGTGCAAACAAGAAGCAGGGCACCAGTGGAGTCACGCGGGGGGTGCGACCCACACCCGGGGGCCACCATTGGAGGTGTGACACCAAAATGACTGACAGTCATTTTGGTGTCACCCCCTATGAAAAGTCACGGACAGAGAGCCCAACAGTGTCAGGAGAGAGGAGGGGACCGGGTGGTATACCTCATCCCGCCGGGTGAACATCCCCTCCTCTCTCTGCCGGCGTCCATCACCAGGATGGCCGCCGGCAGGCGTCAATAAGACGACCGTGCATGCGTGATGACGTCACGGTGGGGTGTCACCCGGTCTCCACTCCGGGTGTCACCCAGCCTTGGGACGCCCTTGCTGGTCAGCGGGTAATGACACACTACCGGAAGTACCAGTATCAGTACTCGTTACCGAAAAACCGGTATGGGTGCATCCCTAGTGAACAGGATTTGAGAATGCGACTGACTGGACAATGACAACAGAATGAAGATGCATTTCTCTATCCATCAATGTCTCGTCTCTAATCCAAGTGCAGAAAACTCTCAGCGGTTGGGTATTCCGGGAGGTCCACCATCGGAGGGGATGGAGAATGAGAGGAGATTAGGGAGGAGCTAGAATCCAGCGGAGGAAACAAAACAGGTCAAGAGAGGAAAAGCTGACATTGGAAGTGTCAAGGAGGTTGAAGGAGAAAGGAAGGTCCCACCGAGCACAGCTAATTAGGGTGAGTGGGCGTGAAGTGGATGAAGTTGCCCGGCTGGCAAGTCCACCCTGCCAATCAGGCCACCCGCCCACCCGGCCACCTTCTGATCATAGACACCGGAGACCGTTAATATCCATTTCTGATGGCAAATCCTCACTTTGTAAGTTCAGGTCCACTGTAAGTGGTGACGCGATGGTGACAGCCCTGCCAGGTGCATGTTTTCAGAGATGTTGGCAATTATACAAAGAAGACAAATCAATCGTAACAATGTACTCTGAATTTGATTGAATGTGCATAACATAAGCTGCACACCTCTGCAATGCATGCTCATTTACCTGCGTTTCATCCCTTCAAAGGACAGAGAAAAAAACCTATTGATCTGTCCTAAATGCAATCAGCTCCTAATTTACTGTTTTTTGGGGGACTCTAATGGTGTCAGCCCTGCCCAGCTGTCATTTCGCTAAACTACTTAATCTCTCCCACTATCCTCACCCAGGCAGTATTTCCCACATGGCCAACCAAGGCCCGGCCTTGGGGCAGCAGGGAGTAGAGGGGCAGCAGGGGGGTGGAATTCCTATCTCCCGATGCCCGGGACATGGAGTCAGGGCATCCATTAGACATTTTGGGGACCCTTACACGGCTTTAGGCCGCCCCCCCCCACGCCGCTGGACGCAGGGCTTAGTGACGCACTGGACGCAGGGCTTAGTGACGCACTGGACGCAGGGCTTAGTGCTGGGCGCAGGGCTTAGTGATGCGCTGGACACAAGACCCACCTGAGAGTGACCCTGCAGAGCCCACCATAGATGCTGCACAGCCCATCTGAGACTGTCTATGGTGGGCTCTGAAGGGGTCTCAGGTGGGCTGATCAGGGCTGCATCCCTCCCCTCCCTCCTTTCCTTCCTTCCGGCAATGCTGGGGCCCTGTGCTGCTAGCGCCAGGCCTCCGCCTCCTCGCCCTTCACCGTCGGCCGATAGTCATATAAGGGACCCGAGTGGGACCCCCCTGGCTGCCCGGGCCCCTTACATGAGTATCGACCGTACCCCCCTGATGGCTGCCCTGCATGCAGTTCCGGGCGGGTAATTGTTTTCTACATGTATCCCGGCTTTGGGCAAGCAGAGCTAATTGTAGAGCGGGGAAGCCATCACCTCCATAACATTCTGCCAGCCGAGATAAGAACTGAGAGGGCTAATTAGACTCATTGGGATAACACAGGAAGTGTGCACGGGACAAACGTCTGATCTGATCCGCAGGTATTCTGTTGCACGCATTGCACGGATATAACAAAACGCTTCTCCTGGTTTATTTAACAGACTGAAAGGGAGCAAACAAGAGAAGTTCATCGTCGGGGTTTACAGTCACTTTAATATGTGTGTCTCGCTCTGTCTCTCCTTTCCTCAGGTTCATGTTTATCTTGATGATTATTGTCACCGCCTTCCTGTGCGGCCTCAACAACATCTATGTGAACTACACCGATTCGGACAAGCTGGGCAAGTACGTATCTCGCAGTCCACACCTACGGCCAGGCTACACTAATTCCGTCCCGGACCGAGGGCCGGATTTCCCACAAGGCCAACTGAGGCCCGGCCTCGGGGCAGCAGGGAGTCGAGGGGCAGCAGGGAGTAGAGGGGCAGCAGGGGTGTGGAATTCCTATCTCCCAATGCCCAGGACATGCAGTTCCGGGTGACGGGCGGGTAGTTGTTTCCTACATTTAGCCCGGCTTTGGGCAAGCAGAGATAATTGTACAGCGGGGAAGCCGACGCTTGTTTTGTACACGTGATCTCGGCGATGTCCTCGAGATCACTTGTATGCAGCCTGCAGGTGGTCGGCCATTCTCCATGGAGGGG